AGGTATAGTACTGAGAATAGATAAAGGTCGGTAATGTTTGACGTCTGATTTGCTACCCGATTTGTATATTGGGGTGACATAAGATAGTTTCCAATAATCTAGAAACTCACCCGTAGCGATAGATTTAATGAAAATATATAAGAGAGGGCGAGAGTGCCCATAAAAATAAAATTAAATTAAAGAAAATGACTGGGATAGAATAAAAACTTTAGATTATAATACCTACCGAAATAAGTAACTTTATTATTTTTTAAACTTTTGCTGGTTTTTAATTTTTTCAGGGTTTTTAAAATTTCTAGATTTTTCAGACTTTTTAATACTTTTTTAGATTTTTTTTTTATTTTTTTAGATTTTTATATTTTCTTAATATTTCAGATTTTTTAAATTTCTTTAGATTTTTTAGATTTCTTTAGGTTTTTAGATTTTTAATTTTTTTTTAGATTTTAGTTTTAGAGATATTTTTAGGTTTTTAGATTTTTTAAATTTTTTTGTTTTTTATTTTGTTTTTTTTATTTTGTTTTTTTTTTTAAAGTAGGAATACCTATTTTTATTCCTATATTAAAGGTGGATTTTAGGGATCAGTCAGACTATAATGAAATAAGAACCCAGACATTAGACAAGAATTTGAAATTCCTTCTTTGATCATTAGACGTAAACAAGCAATGATGAAATGTCTATTTAATTTAATGAATAATCAGATTTCATCTAGCACTTTATTATCTCTTGTTCCTATCAATGTTCCTCCAAAACGCACTCGTTGCCCTTTAATGTTCAATTTACAAACAACCTCTACTCATTCTCCATTCTACGCCATTCTACGTTTAGCCAACAATATAAATATGATGCGGAATTTAGACTGGACTATGTCATATCAAGAATATCGGAAAACACTTCTACATTATTTTGAAATTATGAGTATATGATCTGATATTGTTTGGTGAAATTGTGTTGTTTTCGTGTTTTTTCTTTTTCTTTTCTCCTTTCTAGCTTTTATTATTTATAATTTAGTGCTTTAGTAGGTATGTCATTTTTTAATTTTAAGTTCTTAATTATTTTGTTATTATCTTATACTATCCATGTAATAAGGCTGAAAAGCCTGTATGGATTTTGAATAAATAAATAAAATAAATAAATAAATAAATAAATAAATAAATAAATAAATAAATAAATAAATAAATAAATAAATAAATAAATAAATAAATAAATAAATAAATAAATAAATAAATAAATAAATAAATAAATAAATAAATAAATAAATAAATAAATAAATAAATAAATAAATAAATAAATAAATAAATAAATAAATAAATAAATAAATAAATAAATAAATAAATAAATAAAAATAAATAAATAAATAAATAAATAAATAAATAAATAAATAAATAAATAAATAAATAAATAAATAAATAAATAAATAAATAAATAAATAAATAAATAAATAAATAAATAAATAAATAAATAAATAAATAAATAAATAAATAAATAAATAAATAAATAAATAATATTCTAAATGAAGGTGTCCTGGAAAGGATGTAAAAAATAGTTCTCAGGAAAATAGAACAAAACCCCTATGAACATAAATAACAAGGTCTTGATAAGCAATCTTTAAATAAAGAAAACATTCAAAAAAATTCCCACATTGTATTAATTTTGTTCCTTAATCATCTGCTGGTACTAAAATTAATCATTGGAAAGAGTTGTTGGTAGGCGATTGGGGTTGTATTTCCTAAACAATTTATATTTTTGTATTGATTTTTCTACATCCTTCAAAACCTAATTTCTATATGCAAAAAAGTACAATCTATTGAAGCAAATGAATTCAAGAAAATTAAATGCAAAGATTTTGCTGCGCCCAATGTCAAAAAATGGTGAAATGGTGTAAATAATCATGGACGGTGCTATTACTCATAAAAAAAATAAAAAACATCAGTCCCTCTCACAGGTTTTTACACAATTTCAAAGATTCCCATTTTTGGCATAGAATGCAGAAAATCTTCCATTTCAATTTTCTCAGAAACTGTTGCTTTATTCGATTTTCAATACCTTTTTATGTAAGAAATAAGTAGTTTTTAAAAATGTATCTAGGATGTAAAAAAATTATCCTCAAAAATTGTATAGAAAAAACAACTCCCAACGCCTAAGTACCAATACCACACTTTTCGATTGGATGATTTATTTTTTGATATTTTCAAATGATTAATAGGCAAAATGTATTTATTTAAATGCGGATATGTTCGTATTTTTTTTTCTTTATTTGAACTTGCTATTTAAAAAAAGTACTTCAAACTGACTCTACACAAAGTCCTTAGCTCCCTTATTGTGCATTTTGTGAACCCATGTTTAAAGGAAACTGTTCTTCTAGTTTTATGAGTAGGATTACCTCTCGGAGTCAATTATGTCATTTTCAGAATGTCAACCACTATATATTTCATGTATTTACCAAATTTTTATAACTTACTTTTTACCTATATCTTAATAAAAAATAATAAATCCTAAATATCTTTATTATTATCCAAGTTTCTATTAATATATTAGAATTTAATAATATTCTGTTAATATTTCTAAATTTAAAGGCCACTACTCTTAAACCATAATAGGTATGTAAGAGTGGAACAACTGAAGTCTAACTTTTTCATAGTGTATGTTATATAATTTCTGGCAAAATCAAATCTGAAACTACAACTCCATAGTTTTTTTATATTATTATGGAATTTCTTCTTTTAGAGGAATAGTAGCCTCTAATAATCAAGAAATATGAATATGTGCCCTTTTCAAATAAGCTTCTGTAAGCTAACAAAACCTAATTTATTTCAACCAAGATATATTTAAAAAAAAACAAATAAAAAAAATTATTTTAGTTGTAGAATTTTAAATAGGTTCTAACAACATATTTGAACTATATTTAGCTAAATTATACATACAAGGCATCCTCAAAAATTAAACAATATCTTAGAAATAATATTTTAAGTTTAGTGTTGCCATAATCTGAGCCTGACATAGTTGGCAGAACATATTTACACAATATAGGTACAATATACAGCTGCGATCCATTCTCCCTCTATAGAACAGGCTGGAGAACTAACTTTGTATAAAAGTCACATAAAACTGTCTTATGGGTCCAAAAAACAAAAAATATATCTCCCTTTCTAAAATGATGTTAGGTCAAGGGTTGTCCCATTAACAAGGACCCTTTTCTGGGTCTGACATCACTTTTGGACTGGTAATACAGGTAGAATGTAGCATTATAATTTAATTTCAATTTTATTTATCAACACTCCTAATAATACACACTTTTTACTGTAGATATTTGGTTTCAGGATGGATCTGGTAAAAGCTAGTCATGTTCCAGACTAATGGCCATCCATCAATGTCATTTGTCATTTTTTATGGTTATTATTATTATTTGATTGTTCATTTCTGTTAGAGAAAAAACAGTACCTAGGGCAATATTTTTTTAGATCTAGAAGCAATTTATTGAGAATAATTCCTTTGTATTAAATTTTGATATTTATTATTTATTTAGGTACACTACCCAGACAACACACCAAATCCCACAGATATCCACAGGCTATCTGAAATATCCCGTGGATCTAATATGGACATCCAAATGTCCATCTATATCCAAAATATAGAAGATATCCTATGGATATCCCCAGCAAAATATCTAATGGGTTTCTTCCAGACAATACAAGAAATCTCAGAGATATCCACAATATATATTTTGTGGATATCCAATTATCCAGTGGATATCCAAATGTCCGTCTATATCCTAGGATATAGAAGATATTCAGCAAAATATTTTATGGGTATCTTTAGTAGAGGTTCATAAGTAACCAATGATTATTGAATAACGTCAAAAGAAAATAGCAGAGATAAAAAATATTTTCAACACTCAAAATATTTTCAACACTCTGACTTTGATTTTGCCCACTAAGGAGAAAATCATCCTTATTAGGACTCTTCAGCAATAAATGGAAATTCTCGACTCCAGTCTCTAACGGAGTCTGATTGCGATACCAATTTCGATCAAACTCAGTTACGGCGGATTGAGCATGAGTAGATATTCAATGAGCGAAAGTGGTATCACAATCTATATTTAGTAATCAAAATCAAAAATTACATCTAGTGGATATCCACCATGGTTTGCGTTCGCGCCTAGACTTTGGTATATTTAGTGGATGTCCATGGGATATTGAATACACCTTAAAAAAATTAATTTTAAATATCTGAACGGTACTATTAGCCACAATGGCGTAATTTTTTAATAATTTGCTATATAATTACTATTATTTATGGACATTTGCATGTCTATAAATTACATCTCATGGATATAAAATAGATATCCACCATGGACTGGACATTCAATGGATATTGGGATGTCCAGTAGATATCCAAAGGATTTGGTGTGCTGTCTGGGTAATGAACCATAGATCTAGCCCAAAACTATGTTTTGATGTGACTTCTTCCAGAAAGTATCTTTAACGTGAATTTAGAATAATTTAATGCATTTTTTCAGTTCTAAAAATAATTAATGCTAATAAGTTTTTACGTTAAAACAGCAGGGTATTCGACAGAAACTTCGGATGCCTTTATTTCTGGTAAAATTTAAGTCAGAATCTTGAAATTTGGAGTTATAAGATAGTGCTTGTGAAGGAGACAAATTCCACATACTTTTCATTCCACTATACCTTCCCAATGCACCCCAAACAACTATCCTTTCACCAACACTTTCTATGAGAAACTGTAAGTATATATTATGAAAATGATAGCTCTATCTCTGTCCATTCAAAGTGTTCCTACCGACACTATACATATTTATAATTAACAGGTCGTTTCAAAGATTTCCTATAAGTATTTGGTAAAAAATTGTTTGTAAAAAAAGCATGGTTATTTAATGCCCAAATAGAATTATTCATTCGACCATTCACTGTTGGGTTCTAATTACCAGTCCTAAGTCCTAGCCCTAAATGGAGCTGGTATACCAATAAAAAAAGGTTTACCTTTACGTCTTTGTATTTGCCGAGTACGATGCCTCAACCTCTTTGCCCTTCTTCTCCTTCTCTGTCTCCGCCTCCTTCTTAGTATTAACAATATTAGTAATGCTGCAGATGCAACTAACATATTTCTTCTATAAAAATCCATTTTATAAAACAAATCACTGTTAACATAAAACAATGTAAATAAAACAAAAACTTAACCTTTCTTTTTCTTCTTTTGAAGAGAACCAAACAATAAAGTTTGTTGGCCTGACTTATTTATTAGCGTTTGAAAGTTATTTGTAAATATTATTCTTAATATATATTATTTTTTTGCTGCCTTTCAACTAAACACAGAAAAAAACTAAAAACTTCAAAATATTAAAATAATTCACACACTTAGACCAATAACCTCACTAGACTAGAAGACTAAAAGCGTTTTGTTATACCTAAACTTGCACCATTAAAAGTCACGTGATTTGGATTGCCCAATAATTTTCGCATGTGAGTTTACTAAGGACCGATTCCACCGTTGTGTTAAACGGAGTTTAAAATGATATTTTTACATTAACAATGTCATTTTAATCTCCGTTTAACACTTAGATAATATAATAGCAGATAGGCCACCACTGCATAAAGTTATACAATATTAATCTCGCTATCATATAATCAGTATCTCTTTCTAATGAAGGCTTTCTCACTCGTTTTAGAATTCTCAGCAGTAGCGTACCGTAAAACAATTTCGCTGGGTCATTTTAAATGCGAAAATGTTGACCAAATAGAATATAAAATAAAATGTTTTAAAAGGTAGGTAGGTAGGTAGGTAGGTGCATTTTTAATGAAGTGAAAACAAAATATGACTTTTTTGTTATGAATATAATATTAATAACAATTACTTTTCAACACCACAACACGAACAAATTTAAATTAAACACTGGAATAATTGTCTGAGAAAAGCTTTGTAAAACTGACAAATACAAACAAAGAGATAGAGATATTAATCTATTTCTCTCTAATTAGAATTCTCGACCATATTATCATGGCGACACAAACATTGTTTACTGTCCTCTCTTTACTACTTACTTACTCTGAGGTTTAACACAACGGTGGAATCGGTCCTTAACTGAATAAAGTTATTTGTTAAGGCTGTATGTCACGATACTAAATTAAGTACTAAATTTAGAACTAAATTAATGCATTTTTAAGTACTAAAAAAATTTACGTTGCAAAAAGCAAATTAAAAGTATTAAAAAAAGTCATTAATTAATTAGAACTTGTTTTATTTGCTACTAAATTTAGTACTAAAAGTGCGTCGAAATGTTGCGCAGAAGTTTTTCACAGAAAAAATTGACACGACGGTATTTTCTGTACCATTTTGTTTTTAATTAGCGAAAATTTTGCATTATCGACTTGAATAAAGTTCGCTTGTTTGATTTTGTAGATTTTATTGTGTTTTTTTCGTGGTTTATAGCATTGCTGTATTTGGTTGTTGTCATGTCAAATTGATAATAAAAACACCATTTACTTCACTTGTCTATTTTACCCAGAATATTTCATTTCTCTGCTTATTTCACGTATTAATACGTCAATGCGCGTGCGCCTATAGTTAATTTAGTACTAAAAATTGGTATCGTTGCAAACGGAAAAAAATATTTTTAGTTTTAAATTTAGTACTAAATTAATGACTTAATTTAGTGCTAAGTTTAGTACTTAATTTAGTATCGTGACATACAGCCTTTACAAACTGAAAAATATATTATTTAAATATAAATGTTATTCTAAATTTAATACTTATTCAGTTCCCGACCACATTTCCTGACATAGGGGTCTATTCTGTAACAATTCCTTTATATTTAACGGCCTTTAAAAATATTGGCGACCTTTAAAAATATGTTTGTATTCGTTAATTTACTTCTGTCATTATTTAAACAGATTTCTTTAAAATAGTCCTCTAATGTATTTTAAAGATCCGTTTAAATAATGACAGAAGTAAAGAAGAAAATATTTTTAAAGACCGTTAAATATAAAGGAATTGTTACAGAATAGACCCCATACATCCTTATTTTCTCTACATCAAAACATAAGTCATTAAATCCACAATAATTCTAGTCTAGTTATAAAAATGACAAATGAAAAGGACAGGAACAGAAGGAAGGTAAGGTTCTATTTTAATTTTTCCCAATCCCAATCTAATATAAAACTGATTTGGTTTTATACATTTGTTTACAAATTATAGGATTGTTTTTTTTTAATAAATGTTGAGGATATGTTTTACTTACTTTTATAACGAATTTTCTTTCCAATTTTAAATTGTTTTCCTTATGAAAAATTCTAATATTTAACTGTTCTGTTAATTTTTTTTAACTTAAAACAAATTAATTAGTGACAAAATTCTGAATTAAATCTACACTACTTAAAAATAGTGTAAATACGATTTATTTTACTTACTTATATATTTAAAAATGTAAGTATTTTTGATAGAACTAATAATTAGATTGTTACTTACAGTCCAAACCATCTTCTGTGAAACATTTAGGAAGGGATTTTGACTTGCGTTTCTTTAACCCAAGTTGTTTTTCCATTTGCCTTATTATTTTATCCTCTTCTCTATTTGCTTCCAAAAGTTGTTTGCTTCTTTGCTTTCTCATTTCGGACTCCAATTTTCTTTGCTCTTTCTTTTCTTTTGTACGTATCTGTTCTGATGTTGGCAGCTAAAGATGAAAAATAAGTAAAAAAATAATAAAAAAGTCATAAGGTATCAATACCTGATTACGATTTTTAGTAATTTTTTCTGTTAATTTAGTTTCTACTTGTATTACGTCTACTTTACTGTTTTTCGGTCCTTTATTATTAACTGCTATAGCTTTTTTATTTTGCATCATTGGAAGTTTTTCTGGATTAATTATTTGATGATCAACTAGTTTTTTCTTGGAAAAAAATTCATTTTTTCTTATTTTCTTTTCCTGTCGTTTCTCTTTTCGTTGTTGTTTTCTGGATAACCTTTTAATCGGTTTTGCTGGTTTATTTTTAAGTGCCATTGTGTGTATTATAATAATTGGTACAAAATTGTTCAAAAATCGCCACTTACAGTCAAAATAGCAAATAAATAAAACATAACCTCAATAATTTTCACATGTGACAGAAAAACACATCTCCTAATAGATAGACTACCAGTAATACACTAATATATTCCGTCAGAGCGGTTGAGTAGTCATTGCGTTTATTAAATTAAACATAGACCTTTTGTAACAAGACTAACAATTCGTTACTAATTATGTATGATGTTAACATAGAAAGGTATTTTTCACGGCACAAATCACTGAACTGTTACTGGAACGCTAGAACGCTAGTAACAATATAGCACAAGTAGAAGTTGGAAAGGCTTTTGCCAGTTCTCCCACTTTATACACATAAATTGACAGGTTCACAGCGGATCTAACAGAAGTGGCCGCGATGTGGACGCGATACATTGGCGTACAAAATTAGTTTATAGATGTTAATGACAATTTCGAGTAAATAGTTTAATAAATTGTGAATAGCTGTTGAAATTTTGTAAAATTATGATTTGAATATTATAATACATGTTTAATAATTATTTACAGTCCATAAATACATGCGATTGTCAGGTTCCGTCGGTAACAATTTAAAATTACTTATTCTATGAAACGACACTGGCAGGTAATCATTACTGCGAAATTCTCGAAGCCGTCCGACGTGGTTTGACCCGAGAATAGATCGGTATTCTCGGATTTGACGTTTACCACCTCTCTATACCTTCCAAAAGCCTTTCCACACCGACAATTTTTTTCACCCATGTCGGCTTAGTTTCAGTTTAATATCAAGATCGGTGATACCATTACGTGTGTCTTTTTATCCAACTGATGCAGCAACGTTGGCATTGGTGCGGTATCTACCTTAGATAATTATAATAGCAGATAGGCCACCACTGCATAAAGTTATGCCATATTAATCTCGCTATCATATATAATCAGTATCTCTCTTTCTAATGAAGGCTTTCTCACTCGTTTTAGAATTCTCAGCAGTAGCGTACCGTAAAACAATTTCGCAGGGTCATTTTAAATGCGAAAATGTTGACCAAATAGAATATAAAATAAAATGTTTTAAAAGGTAGGTAGGTGCATTTTTAATGAAGTGAAAACAAAATATGACTGTTTTGTTATGAATATAATATTAAAAACAATTACTTTTAACACCACAACACGAACAAATTTAAATTAAACACTGGAATAATTGTCTGAGAAAAGCTCTGTAAAACTGACAAATACAAACAAAGAGATAGAGATATTAATATATTTCTCTCTAATTAGAATTCTCGACCATATTATCATGGCGACACAAACATTGTTTACTGTCCTCTCTTTACTACTTACTTATTCTGAGGTCTCTACATGTCTTTTTTTTTTTCATCAATCTATCAGTGATGAACTAATAGCTGTCTTTTTATCCAACGTTGATGCAATCGATGCAACACCATTCCATCATTTCAATTTTCAATTGTATGGTTTTTCCGATTAGATGTGAGAACTGACAGCTGGATTGCGGGAATTAATCAGAATTAAGGAACTAATTAATTATTTAATTGTTATTTGTGGAAAAAACCGAAAAAAATGAGCTTTTAAAAATATATTCGTTCAAGCTAAAGTACCTAGGTACATTGAAATAAAATTATAAACACAAATTTTATTCCAAAATGTCAACTGTTATTTATTTCAACGGTCAACCATAAATAAATTGAATCCAACACAAGGCGTTCAAGGTCGCATCGGTGAAACAACGATTCCAACAAACCAGTGGAAAAAAAGACACACATATTGCGTTAATGCAATTAGGCATTCCAAACAAATGAATTACCAGTGGGCAGGTTTGGTATATCTAAGGACCGACTCCACCGTTGTGTTAAACGAAGTTTAAAATGACATTTTTACATTAATAATGTCATTTTAATCTCCGTTTAACACAACGGTGGAATCGACCCTAAGCGTCCAAGTTGCAAGACATCAGCGGGTTGCAAGAACGATTGTTAAAATCTCTCGTTAGCTAAAGAACAAATAACTAACTGAGATTAAAACTGGCAACGGCGCTTTTCCAACTGACAGTCTGTCGCTTCACAGCTGATCACGGGAGATTTTTAAAATAATGAAGTTAATTTGGTAATATTTCTTCGAAAATTAATTACAAATAAAGTAAAAAATGAAATGAAGGCTCAACCTTTACGACTATGGTTAAATGTTAACACTATCCCTATCTTTTTTCGACATCGGCTCATATTTTTTAATAGACAGAAGCAAGGACAGTCGGTTCAGAGAAAAAATGTTTTACACATGAATATAATTTCTTAAAATAAAGAGAATGGCTTAAATGAAGAAAAGGTTCCAATAAGTCACTGGAAAAAGAGAAGAATACTCATTTAACTACCCTTCTAGTAGTGCTCAATTAAAAATCTGTAATTTGTGGTTTAAAGCAACAGTACTTAAATATAGTTTGTCCCTTTTATATAAACTAAAACTTTTGTCACACCATGGAAAAGTACATTTCTTTCTACTGTACATTATTTTTCAAATAGAAGTACATAATTAAAAATATGTTTAGTTTTTATCATGTGTGCAAACCCCATTTACTGTGGAAATATTTCTAATGTATTTTCTATTTTTAACAGACTTCAAAAAAGAAGTAGGTTCTCAATTCATCGGAATATATTTTTTATGGATATTTAGCAACAATTCTTTACTATGTTGTCCGATTTCTGATTATTTTTTTGTTAGAAAGGGGGCTCTTCAGAGATGGTTCCATAATATAAATTTGGTAAAGATCTGATGATGGGATTCATGAGAAAATAATCACTCTTCGTTTTTTGTAGTCATCAGTTTTTTTAAATTAATTTTGTAACTTATACATTTTTCAATGAATCAAAGTAAAAAACTGTTTAAATTGGGAAATTTCTAAAGTTCAGTATCTATTTTTTAGTTAGAAATGGAAAACTGGAGGAGAGATGGTAAAATCTCTGGTATGAGAAATAAATTCACATTTGACATATTCTTGAAAAACATATACAGTTCCTTTTTGAATCCCTTCAATTTGGGTGCTATATTTCTTTGCTAATAAACTAATGCTAGAATTTATTTTTTATTTAAGAACAACTTTCTATTTGTACAATATTGGAATTTCTAGATTGTTGAGAAAATTAAATAATTATGATATGATAATTAGCTTTTATAGGTTGTGTAATAGTCGAAATTTAGAATATTAAATAATTGATACTATGTATAAATTACACTTATTTACCTTAATAATATATATTTGCTTTCACATTTGTAATTTACAGATTTGTAGGTCATAAATAAAACACCAAATTCATTTTAAAATTTTATTTTTTAGGATTAAATTAATATACACAAAATACATAACATAATAAAAAAATATAGCAAATCTACAATAAATAAAAATACATTTAATTTGCCCATCATTATTAAGAATTCTAATTCTATAAAATAAACATTCAATCCAGGATTTCTTTTTGGTTATGACAGGTTTCAAGTTGACTAGTAATTTTGTGTTAAAATTTACAGTTTGCCTAACGTATTGGATACGTCTACTTTGCCAGTTCCACATATTTTATAAATGTATAAAAAGAAATGGATTATTTCAACATAGGTACAAACAATAAAAATGTTATTACTGATAGTAGTTTACTGCTAAATATTTACTTTTTCTGAAAATAGGCAGGAAAAAACTATAAAATAATATTAAATATGTTTGAGAATGTATTAATACATAACAATTATACGAATTAAAAAGTGTTTAACAATATAAGTAGAGATACCAAGCTCCACAGTTATATGGCTTAAAATTATTTATGCAATCATCTCATGAAATATTTTAAAATACTTAGCAAACACCTATATTACTACAAATAAAAATATATTGCTACCAGGCTATACCACCGTCATAAGCCAAACCCCCATAACTGACAAATTACAAATATTTGAGGTTATTTGACATTCTGATACTGACCCATTTTTCTTTTTAAAAAGTAAACAAAATACCAGCAATTTTTATTCTGTTTCCTAAAAAGTCAACTTGATTCTACAATGTAACTAACATTTTTCTAGAGAATTCTTATCAAAAATCAACCCAAAACATTAAATCACATTTATATAACTAGTTAAAAACATTATTCAAAACTTGTATTTAATTCAACAAAAGCAGCTATATTGGTAACACATATCAAAATACTGGCACTAATAAATTTCTTTTATTGCATATATCTCCATTCTATAGTTTGTGTAGTTACTGGGGCAGTATAGATATTTTAAAGTTTTATTTGTGAGCCAAGCCTGTCTTGTTTCAAGATTAGTGGTCCATACAACAATATTTTTAATTTTGTTGTTACAAAGTTTTCCTTTTTTAACTGTACGGTTTTGCTTGAGAGTCTGTGCAGGGGGATCGGCAGAGTCCACTTGGGCCAGTGAAGGGTTTAGTAGATTCCTTGGGAGTGAAGAGACTACTAGGAGAAGCACCTAAGGAGACTCCACTGGAAAGAGGCATAATATCAATTATTGATTTGTTCACCTACAGAATAATAAATAAATATATATGATTCTAGAGCTCATAAAAGTATGTTCCAAAATATAATGATATAACAAAATTTATATAGAGATTCAACGATGATATTTAGCTGCAGTTAACTAGGACTCGTGTAATTATTTATTGCAATGCAAGAACCTAATTAGACCTACAGTTATACTTTAATAAAATGTGTAAAAGTTCCCTTCAATTCCAAATTTGTCTTCATATTACACTAATTTTCCTATCAACATACGAAGTATTTGTGATAATTATACAAGATGGTCCAAATTTGACATGTTTATAAGATATTACTAAATTAGCAGGGGATAAAGCACATTTATGTCGCACCTTTTTTTAACTAAGCATGTTATTTTAAATCCAGTTATAAATTCCTTCCCTGAGTAAAATGCAAGAGTGATTTTTAAAATATCATTATTTTGTTTGGGTGTTCAATTAAAAAATGGTGTTACCTCGAAAATGTGTACCCCTTGAAAAAATAATAAGTACGACAATGGATTTTACATATGTAACTATGTTAAATTATTAAATTGTTTTTCAAAATAAGATTTTTATTTGAGATAATAAATTATGATAAATTTAGAAAATCACCCTATAGTTTCTAAAAAGGATTTATAACAACTAAGCATTCCATGTTTTGTTTCTCAAAAAAGGTGACAATAATGGGTTATAAGGTTTCGATATCCAGTTGTATCATGTGAAAACGTCGAATTTTGACCACCATGTATAATAAAACAGCTAAGTTTAAATAAAATAAATAAAATACTTTCTTACCAAAGAATGTAGCAGTGGAATCAAAGGAATTCAACGGGGACTCTATTTGATTATAAAAAAATGCTTTAATTTGAGCCCATCTCATCAAGTTGGAGATTAACCACGCCTCCTTCTTGTTTTTCACCCTTAAATAAATAAGGAAATAATTTAAATAAACAAAAATAATACCAAACGTTAGTTATTTCCAATTTTATTTTTTTTTTAACTTTAGTAGTTTGAAAAATCTTTAAAATGGAAAAGACAGATATTGCTAAAATTGTATAAATAATAACACATACAAAAGAAGTTTTATATTGTATATAATATAAAAGTGATTTAATTTCTGTTTAAATTAAAATCCTATAAATCAATCTTTTAAAATATAAAATTTGTGTTAAATAACATTATAGGCTTTGCTTAGAAAATTAACTTTAAACATATTACTGCACAAATTTTTAATTTGATTTCAAATAAATTTTTTCTTTTATTACTAAGAAGGCACAATATTCTATGCTATATAGAAGGTAAGTATATTAAAGTTACTGTCCCAGGAGGGTCGGTGGGTGTACAAATTTTATGAATTTGCAAATGTTATGTATTAAAACAATAAAAGTGTTCCTTTGAATAAAACAAATACGAACCTTGTCCTGTCTCTCCTTCTATTTGACCTCTTGTAAAGTTTAGTTTTCTTTTTGTTGTAAGTATCTCACTTTTAGATGTCCTTGTATCAGTTTTATATTTAATAAAAGCTAGTTATTCCTAATTAGTATTTTGGCCAATACAACTTCTTAGCCATGCAATAAAGAGATCTTCTATAATTACCTAAAATTTTAACCCCAAAAATGTAGTTGGAAATACAAATTAAGATGTAATAAAGTGAATGTTTTTAAAGGAATTTTATGTACTTGTTATTAATTTACTTACCAAGTGGTTTTTCTTCTATCTTTAGCAGTAAATTGCTTGCGATTTTTGTTGTCAAACATTATAATACTTCAACTAAACGAACTAAAATTGAACTTTTATAATATATATTCAAAGTACCTCTCGACACTCACATAAATTGGCTGGAAAATTGAAAATAATTGAAAAATTCTAAAATATTAATCCATAAACATTAATCTGTCAAAGTAAATGACGAGCAGAGCTCTGACAGAGGAAGCGCAGTTGCCAGTTCACGTCGTCGTTAAAAATTAACAGAAGAATGCAACCCGTACTACACCTTTAGTAAAAGATTTGGGTTTAACGAGTCATTAGATATTTAACGATCGTTGTTGCAACCCGCTGTATGTCGCTACCCCCTTAAATATATTCCCACTGGCACCTATTGTTTGACAGGTCGTTGGAATGCCTAATAACGCAACGCCGCTATTTACTATTTACGTCGGCAACACTGTGCTCATGAACGTCAAAACTCAGAACGTGACTTGATTACCTTTGCCCTATGCGCGGAATCAAAAATACAATGCAATTTTCCAAATTACCAAAGCCACGTTTTGTCAAATTAGTAGAGTTTGTAAATTTCTTACGATCGTGACAAATTAAATTTCAGCAATCATGCAAGCGAAACCTTGAAATTGTAGTTTTGTAACCTGTAACGGTTGAGTTGTTGAGTAGCCACTACCGTCACCGTCTGCTGAAATAAGGTTAGTGGTGGTGAAATGCATGCTGTGTTTTGTGCTAGAAGTTCCCGTAAAATTGCCAATTTTTATCAAAAATTATGGGTACTTATCTAACTCCCATATCGTCACAATTTTATTTATACGACTGCTATCGCACGAAAAGCAGATACAACAATGTCACGTTATTTTGACAGGTGAAAATTAGGTATAATAAATTGGTTCAAGGTAATTGTATTATTTTGTTTGAAAAATGTTTAGTGTACCGAGTGCGATGACTGCGATGTTAAAAAGGCTTCTAAGCCAACGAAATTCGAGTATGTATTCAGCCGACGAAGTGTTCAGTGAGGAAAACAAGAAAAGGACAGTGGAGCAATTCTCGTCTATGAAACCGATCAGAATGACTTCTCAGGAACCCAGAGATAAGGCAGCTGTGCTGATCCCGCTTTGCGAAGTCGATGGCAAGGTGTCGCTACTGTACACTCTAAGAGCGGCCAATTTAAAGAGTCATCGTGGACAAGTTAGTTTTCCTGGTGGAAAAAAAGACGATGATGATGATACATTAAAAGATGCTGCTCTCAGAGAAACCGAGGAAGAATTAGGAATACAATCGGATAATATAGACGTTTGGGCTACCGGTAGTTCAATAATTTCGAAACGAAAAATGACAGTGTTGCCAGTTATAGGGAGAATATTAAACGAAATAAAAATTAGTGAATTAAATGTGAATTATTCGGAAGTCGAAGAAGTGTTTGCTGTATCACTAGAAGATCTATGCAATCCTGCTTATCTGCGATATACACAATTTAGGAGTGGGGCTTCTTTACCAGTGTTTTTGGGGGGTAAACGCAGAATATGGGGACTCACTGGGTTGATAACAAATAGGTGTTTGCTGTCTTTACTGCCTCCGCAAGCCTATTCTCATAAAATTAAATTTATACCTCATGTTAAGAGCAATATTAAACCTAGTGCTGCTTATGATTGATTTTTTTTATTTCAATATTTATTATTGAATATTTTTATTTTATGATTCTAGAGCAATTATTTATCAGAAAAGCTTACAAGAAGCTCTTTTGTTTATTATTCCAAGCAATGAAGCACTGAGGCCATGGATTACCTGTGCTAAAAATTGGTATGTTGGTCCAATTCAATGTCTTGATCCCCTTTCAATTTTTCCAGTGTTATCTGGGTTGCATTTTTAGGGACATTTTAAAAAACGCTGCGTAAAGGCTGGTCTGAAGTGAAAAATTCTTGCCCAGTTTCATTTAAAGTATATTTGTAACAAAAAACCTTGAAAGTACTATTCTAATATTTATATATGGCATAGCTTGTCATTGAAGACAATGCTCTGTTTTTATCACATTTGAGAACATGGATATGATAATAATTTATTAGATCATTATACAAAAACAGAACTTTATTTTGATTTATTTAATTACAATGGAAATTTATATTTTTTGAAAAATTATAAATTAAGTTAAGCACCTGTATATGCTAAAAGTAATGGCAGTAAAATTATATTTCATTATGTGCTAATATAAAATATAAAGATATAAATTTAAATAAAATATATAAATTTTATACACACAAATAAATTATTTACAAAAACAATAATGCATCAATATTAGATGTGATACAATTTTGATTTCTTCTGAAATAACTTCAAATTTTTTATATTCCTCACATTGGTAGGTAGAGTGTTAAAAACTTTGGTAGCAACATAAGTTACAAAACTTTGACTTGCATCTCACTGAACTGCCGAAGTTCTCAATTTCTCATTTAATCTGGCTCTTGTGTTGTGCAAATGATATGCAGTGTATCTCAATTCAGACTTTTCATAAATAAAAGTACAAGACGGATAATATAAATGTTCTTATACAAAGCACTTGTTTATAAGAGAGGTAGGATATAATGCAGATTTTTTGTAAATAATTTTATTTATATGATTTTGGATTACATTAAGGGGTTCAAGTGCAATATCATATAGTCCACCCCATATTATTATACCATATCAGAAAATAGATTCAACCAGCGAGTTGTAAATAATAATTAGTAAACTCCTAGTCATAAATTTCAACTCCTAAAATTTTAAAATGAATGTTTTAACTGTAGTTGTTAATGACTGAATGTGATTACTTCATTTCAAATTTTGATCAATTGTGATACCGAGATATTTTGTTGTATTTTCAATCAATGGACTTCTTTCCCCTTATAGAGCTTGATTTTTGCTAAAAATTTCAAGTTGATATCATTTTTCAGTTTTGAGTTAGAATTTGTTTTAATATTTCAACCACACTTAAACCCCCATGTTTATTCAGATTTTTTTTTTTAGAATCAATAGCCTTTTTCTCCTTTTCCAAATAATTTCATGTTGATATCGCTTTTCGTTTTTGATTTATGAATTTTTTTTTTAATTTCACCCCTCGTTTTTAATCAGATAATTTTTTAAAATTCAGTAGGCTTGGTCCCCTCGTAGGGCTCGATTTTGACTAAACATTTCAATTTGATATATTTTTCGTTTTTGAGTTTTTTATATTTCAACCCCTATTAACTAACCCCCCAATTTTATTCATAGAAACGTTGAATTACATTAAATTCTCTACACTTTTTATATACAAAAACTTTTCCACCTGCCTTTTTGCTTAAAATTTACTGCAAAAAAACTGTTGGAATCTGTTTTTTATAATTAGCGAAGTAAACTAGCAGACGATTTGATTAAAATTCGGATAGAACGCTATAAATACTACGGTAGTACTCGCAACTAATAATATCCTCTAGATTCTAGATGAAGACTGGACCAGCATTTTTTTTTCAGACTAGCCAATTTGCACAGCGTTTTCAAAAAATCAATAAAACAAAAAACGTGAACCAGATTGCCTGTGAGCAATTGAAAGGGGATCGTCAGGACATCGAATTGGATCAAGATACCAATTTTTGATTTTATTTTTTCACTGGTAAATAAATCTACCCTACTTCCTGGCCTGTATATAATTTATGAAATGAATTAGTGTCAAAATAAATGGGATTACTTTTAAATTATTAGTAGTCATCATTTAATGTTTAATATGATGAAATACCTATGAAAGCCATCCTAATTTTTATGTTAGGAAACTAAAAAATTAATAGCTTTATTTTCACCGAGAATGCGATGTTGCCAAATATATAAAACTCCCGAATTTTAAGAATTTATTGCTATAATTCAAAAATCCAATTTTGTTTTTGTTGTCTGAAGCTTATAATAAAATTTGGATTGTATATTAATATAAAAATTGTATAAATTACGGGTGTATATATAATAATGGCTAGTAGTACCTGTTAATGAGGAAACGAAACCATGTGATCTATAATATTATGTTTTATTTTTAGTGACATTTGAAATTGGGGAAAGATGATTACTTAAGTATTTAAATATGAAAAAGAATAATATAAGGTAGTACATTAAGAATGTACCTAATTTTTGATGCAATCAAATTTATGAAAACATGAACATATCAAATGAAAGACTATTTTTTATTTAGGTAATATTAAAAACACTGTTGTATACCTAATGGTAAAAATGTAATTTTAAGATAGCTATTTTTTACAGGGGTACTAATAAAATCTCTCAGAATTAATATTTTGGAAATAAATAGGTAGGGAAACTTATTTGAATTTCATAAAAGTTAGTTTTTCAAATATTTTTCTTCTGCGATTTTATTGATATTCTCTGTATACCACTGACAATATTAATCTTTATAAACACTAATTTGGTTTTTATTTAAGTAATTCAAATCTAGTCCATATTATCAAAGCTTTTTTCTCTTAAAATAGTGTAAAAAAATAATGCAAAATCATTATAAAATTAATTTGTGTTTCTCTTGAAAACTTAATGTAAAAACACTAGTTAGTTAAAGAACCAAATTACAAGTACTGTGTTTTTATTTGTAAATAATAAAGTTTTATTATTTTATTGAATGTTTTTATCACCCAAAATAAATCATTGAATTTGTTAATAACATCAGATTCACAAAGAATTAAGTAGTTCAAATGTACAATTTGCGAAAATCAACTGTATTCAAGAAACATTTTTATGGTGATTTTCTGAAGTGTAAATTGTTCCTGAAAGTTTTACCGAAGTAGTTCAAATGCACCATTTGTAATATTTAAGTAAACAACAGTAATTACAAAACACATTTCAGACTAATTTCATTGTTTTTTTAACGGTTTCTAAGAGATTATAAGAGGGTAGTCGAAGTATACCATTAATGAAATTACTCTGACACATTTAACAATCAATAGAACTGTTTTTTCAGTACGTTTTGTGAACATTATTCGATTTTTGAGAAGTTTCAGGTTGTAGTTCAAATGTAAAAAAAATGTTTTCAAATAAATTCATGGTTTTTAAACGATTTCTGTGAGTTTATAAGAGAATAGTTCAAATGCCTCAAACGTTTAAAATTCATTAGAATCCATCCTTCGGTATACTTTGGGAACATTACGTGATTTCTGAGAAATGTTAACGGCGCAGTTCAAATGCACCATTTATATTTAAACACAGTCAAATGTATCTTTGTAATATTTAATTAAGTAAAATAACAATCGCAAAAAAATGATTTCAAAACAATTTCGTGGTTTTTAAATGGTTTCTAGTTTATATGAAAGTATTTCAAATATACAATTGCACAAAAATTACTCTGACTTATGTAACATTCAATAGAACTGTTTCTTCAGTATATTTTAGAAATATACACAATTTCTGAGAAATTTTAAGGGATAAGTTCAAATGTACAATTCGTAATGTTTTAAGTTAACTAAACAATTGCAAAATGCTTTCAGAATAACTTCGTGGTTTTTAAACCAATTCTGAGAGGTTATAAGAGAGTAGGTCAAATATACCATTACCAAAAATAACTTACAGATTTCAAATTCAATAGAACTATTTCTTCAGTACGTTTTGGGAACATTACTAGATTTTTGAGTTCAAATGCGCTATTTGCAAAAATTTACCAGAGTTAACTGCATTTAAAAAACATGTTCAACGATTTTTAAAAAAAATTTAATACAGTAGGTCAAATGTATTATTTGAAATATTTAATTAAGTAAACTAAACCTGCAAAAAAAGTTTTCAAAATAACTTCGTGGTTTTTAAATGGTTTCTGGGTGGTTGTATAAAAGTATTTCAAATATATCATTACACAAAAATTACTTTCATTCATTTAAAATTCAATAGAATATTCCTTTAGTACGTTTTATGAACATTTGCGATTTCTGAGAAGTTTTAACAAAGTAGTTTAAATGTACCAATCATAAAATGTTACATCAGCCTCTTTTAAGTAAAAAAAAAAAAATGTTTCATAGGTAATTTTCTCAGAACAGTTCAAATGAATTCTTTAACTTACCTGTTTCACCACAAAACTGATAACATCTTGTTAGTCTTTTCTCATTACTGTCAAAAGTTAGAGGCAAAAAAGGATAAAACAAACAAGTTTTTTTAAATATTTTACACCTTTATTGATTCGTCCATTATGAGACGCGACCAGGCGCCCCAAATCGACAACCAGTAAAAATACATCTTGGTTTTAACTAAGTATCTAAAAAAATAACTCCAGTACAACATATTTTGATAATAATAGGAAAAAAAATAGTACAACTTAATTTAACTCTGTTCCGATTTTTACTAAGAGAAGCGACAATAGGTTAGACGTGAAAAAATACTTTTAATTGTCGAATTTAGAGAGCGAACAGCGTCCGAAGCAATTTTGTTACCAAGAGAAAGGAAACAAAATAGACTCATATGATTTGCAGAAAGTTTAAAGGTAGTAGTTCAAATGTACCCTTCCTAAAAATGAACCGAGTTGATAATTAAATTACAAGAGACGTCCTAGATTATTTAATTGCAGTATGCAGGAAGTTTAAAGGTAATAGTGCAAGTGTACCCTTCATAAAAGTAAACTAGATTATTTTTTGAGACTTCAATGATTGAATTAACAAATAGGTATTTTTGTATGATTTGCAGGAAGTTTAAAGTTAGTAGTTCAAATGTACCCTTCATAAAAATGAATTGAATTTACCTTAAATTACAGGAGACTTCCTAGATCAAAAATATAGATATACTTGTACGATTTGCAGGAAGTTTAATAATAGTTGTTCAAATGTACTCTTCATAAAAATTAACTGTATTGAACTTTAACGTACAGGAAACGTCTTAGATTAATGTTTTGTAACTTAAATGAATCATTCAATTCAAAAAATAGGTACTTGTATGATTTGCAGGAAGTTTAAAGGTAGTAGTTCAAATGTGTTTTTCATAAAAATTAACTGGGTTGAAATTAACAATTACAGGAGAAGTCGGAGACATCAACGATTTCAAGGATTTTTTAAGATAGTTCAAATGTCCCATTAATTTAAGAATTCCATTTCTGCCACTGATATTACCTGTCGCTCTCAAAATTCGAAAGAAATGATTGAACTTTAAATAAAAGAACCATATTTACAACAACAAAAATTATAACTGGTACATAAATATTTTTCCATCACATTTTTATAAAAACTTTTTTATAATTTTAGTACTTTTACATAATTTTATGTAATAAAAAAATTTAAATCGTTAATATTAATAATAATAAATCGGATAGTTAAAGGAAGAAATGTGTAAACCGTTGTGTCAAAAAATATTCCGGGATTTCTTCCTCTGACTAGGTCTAGGGTGAAAAAAATGCGTCAAAAAATATAAATTCAAAGACAGTTTTGTGATACGCAAAAATATATATATTAATATATAAAAAACTTGTTCCACTGTTGATCTGTAAAAGCGTTTACTTGTTAGCTTCAGCTGGCACCAATTAAACTGGCCTAAACATGCCTAAAAAAAATTCAACAAATTAATTCCCTAACATTGCCTATAACGATTAAAAAACCAGGCGACGATCAGCGTACAACATTTTTAACAGTTTCGGCATATTTTTAAACTTACGAGCCTTTTTAAGTATATAAAAAAAAACAAATTAAGTATCCTGCATCAAAATAATCTTGTCACTCGAGTTTTGGATTTGGATGCGTTGGATACACTTAAAACATTTTTAAGTGTATCTGGTCACAATTTATGAACTTTACATTTGAACTACTGTTTTAAAAATGATTAGAAACGATTTAGATGTCTTAAATAATAATATTCCGATAGCATTGTTGCTTTTAAGGGTATTTGGTTAATTTTTACGAATGGAACATTTGAACCAACCACTTACTGAAAAATTATCAGAATATCTTTATTCGCAACCCTCGTTCGATCCAGGTCAATCGTTTCTAGCAGGCACTGTAAATACGAGGGTTGTGAACAAAGATATAGTTTCTAAGAATTTTTTAGCAAGTAGCTCCAATGTTTCATTTGTAAAAAATATTCAAATACCCTTAAAAATAACGAATAATGCTTCAGGAGTTATCCAAATCGTTTCTAAAATGTTTTAAGAGTTCATAAAATGCAATCAGAAATGTTCTCAGAGTAATTAAGGTTCTGAGCAATTTTAAAACACAGTAGTTCAAATAAAACGTGTAAAATTTAATCAGGAATCTTTAAAAAAAATTACCAGAAATGTAAATTTTGTGGTGTTAAAGGATTAAACGAGAATTTTCATCAAAGTAGTTCAAATGTCCCATTAGTAAAAACTAGCCAAATACCACAAATATTGTTCTGCAAGTTACCTTTTGAGAAATCTAAATTGTTTCTAACAATTTTTAAGAGAGTAGTTCAAATGTACCGATTATAAAACATGCCCAGATAGAGAGTAGTTCAAATGTGCTATTCATAAAATGTAACAAAATACACTTAAGTAAAATTTAACGAGGAATCTTAAAAAATAACAAGAAATAGAATTTTTGTGGCCTTTAAAGGCCAAATGTGAATGTTCAACAAAGTAGTTAAATGTTCCATTCGCAAAAAAGAATAGTTCATCATATGTACCGTTCATAAAATGTGACCAGATACACTTAAAAATCGCTAAAAATGTTCGAAAGAATCCGAGTGATTTTATAACACAGTAGCTCAAATGTATCAATTGTAAAATTAAACCAAAATCTTAAAAAAAATACAATAAATGTAGTTTTTGTGGCATTTACTCTTAAAAGTAACAACTATTGTTTTATGGAATATAAAGAACGGAGTAGTTCAAATGTACTACCAAAAGTTACTTTTTGGAACATTTAAAAGATTTCTAAATTATATCAACGCATCGTCGAGTGACAAAATTACTTTGACGACCGGTAGTTCTAATGTACCACAAAACCGATATTTTTTTAGTTCTAATCCCTCTCTTATGATTCCGCTAGCACTGGAATGGCCGTCGTGTACACGGGCGTCTCCAATTCTATCCTGGCCGTCGTCTTCAAACCCAATTGGTTCTTGATGTGGCTGATGATGTCTTGATCGGCGGGGCAGCTTTGTATGAACGCTTCAAGTTCGTACATGTTCGCCATGTAGTTCCACAGATGCGTGAACGTCGAAGGTATTTCGAATTTACGGAATGCCTTGGCTCCAATACGAATGTGCTGTAATCTGAAAGAGGAATGTTAGGCATATTATAGAGCGAGCAGTTCAAATATACCATATGTATGAAGATAAGAAAGTTAATATTAGGCACATTCTGGGAATAACCATCCGAAATAACAGAAACGACAGATTAATAATATTGGGAGATTTAAATGGAAGAGTGTGAAGAAATGGGAAAAATAGGTCTGTATGGAAAAATTATTAGAAAATATAATAGATAAAGAATAATTGAATACTGCATATTGTTCGAATTACATTCAAACACTCACTTAGATTCAAAAAAAAAAACACCCACCTTTAACAATCAAAATTGAATCCCATCTTTAGACTTTGGTCAACGTCCAGCTGCCCTCTCCCAGTTAGAATAACAGTTAAAACACAGAGCCAATAATATTCACAAGGGAAGAACCAATGAAAAACGAAAGTCATGACAATGCTTTTACAAACATAAACAGCGAGAATTTTAACAAAGCTGGTCACCGCATATCAGTCGTTTTATTGGCAAATGTCTCAGTTTTGATCCACCGTTATGTAGCCTTTTATTTATGGAAGCCTAAGGCGAGACGTTTAGGCAGTTCCAGAAAGGCACTGAAACCTGGCCACTTCACCTAGAGGGACGTCAAAAACCTAAGGTAAAGTCTTTCTCGTACCACATATTGAACAATTTAATAATAAATTATTTCGTCCATAAATAAATATACAAGAGAAGTAATAAGTCAAAAAAGATCTATAATAGATTATGTTAAAATGAAGAAGAATTCTAAATGAGAAATAAAAGGTACTAGAGTAAACAGAAGCTGCGAAATATACTTAATCATTATTTAATTTTCAAAAACGGAATATGTTAAGTAACCTAGCAAACTTAGAAACATAATTCAAATGAAATAAAATTAAAAAAATACATAAAACTAGGAAATTTATGGAAAACTGTCAAGAACACAATAATAACAGTAACAGAAGAATGCTGTGGATTTTAGTCAAATAAGCAAATATAAAAAATTAACGAAGTAGTGGAATGGAAAAATAAGACAAGAAATATAATTAAAGAAACAAGTGGAAAAATGCCTGAGTAATAAGAGAAGTAAAATTTTTAGCAGATATAAAGAACAAAAAAAAACAAGGAAAAAAACAGCAAAAAAGCATAGAAAAAAGATAGTTATGGAAATCAAAACTGTTTTTCGAAGCACTAAAAAATCAAATAAGAAGCAAACAGAATGAAAGCAACTATATTAAGTCAAACGAAAGAAAAATAATAGAAGACAAGAAAGACAAAGTTGCCAAACCTATCAGGACAATTTTCTTTTCAATTTTTCATTAAATTTGTTTTAACTTTGGGGGTTCAAAAATAATCAACATTAATTCGTAGGGGTTATTTTTGAATGTGTTTGGGCATTTACAAGGAATTTATAACATAAATACAATCTTATAGTACAGCCATGTTATACAATATTAAAATAGTTTTATTGCCAACCGTCAATAAATCCATGCATTACCATAGCGAATTGCGGAAGTAAACAAACACTTTATCTCACTGTAAAAATTAAATATTTTATCTGCAGCTAATATTTATCTGGTCTATTTGACGTGTAAATTGGTAAAATGCAAATCGTCTAAATTGTCAATGATACATTAACTAATCCATTCATATAATAGTTATTTATGTACCAAGTCAGAAAAGTGTTTTCATTGAACTGGTCTGTTACTCGCTTCTCTCGCTAGGCTCATAATCTCAGACTAGTTCGATAATCACTTTGCTGAATTGGTACATAAATAATTATTATATGAATGGAGTCGTTAATGTATCATTGACAATTTAAACGATTTGCATTTTACCAATTTACACGTCAAATAGAGCAAGTAGCTATTGATAATTTAAGGAAGTAGTTCAAATGAACTGTGTTTAAATTAGTAAACAATGAAAAACATCAACTATTGTAACTAAAATTCGCAATTTTTTTAGTACTTACCTAGGCATTAATTCGCAATCGAAACACGACATGGTGTCGCCCGTAAGAAATCTTGTCGCCCTCTTGCCCAAGAATTCGTTGATCCTATCCAGATGGGATAATAACGGTTGCCGACTGTCAGCCGTATCTTGTGACTCGAATTTTCTGACGTACATCTTGAATTTCGTGTACAAGTTTTCTATCAGTGTGGCTACTTCTTTGTCCTAAACAAAAATTGACACACTGAATAAACATTTATAGGTAATAAGTAATAAGAATCATAATGATAATGGTTATGATACTGGTTGTGAATATTATTAGCCGAAGCGTTAACCAACTAGGGCGTACAGAAATAATCAATGTTTATGGTCCGAATTACATACCAAATTTTTATTTATTTTTTTTCTTTAAGGTTTTGGCTTCGGTAATTATATCCATTTGCCATAGATAAGTATTAAAATACCGAAATTGAAATAAAGAAAATTTTAAATAATTTAAATTAATATATATATATATATATATATCTTATTGTATGATTCGTAGAAAATCTACTAATAAATCAAATATGATTTTATTTTGAGTACTTAAAAGATGAGTTAAATTTATGGGATATTGTATATTTTTGTTACGTAATTCTATGATTAGATCGGAACAGTGTTGCTAATGATTTGAGCAGGCGAAAAAAATATGATTTAGGTCCGCAACCGTCTCATTATCACAGGAGCATAGATTTGTATTCACAATGCCTATTCGATATAAGTGAGCCGGAAATTTTCCATGGTCTAATTTTAATCTTATGATGGTAACCGAGTAAGATCTACTTACATTAAACTCGCGTATATGTGGAATTTTTATGGGTAGGGTAGGGTGGATATAGGTGTAAGGGTTATTGGAGTTTAGCACAAATTCATTTCATTTTAGGTTCCAAGTTTTACAGATTTATTTTTTACCAATATTTATTATATCCATATAATTAATTTTATCTACTATATTGGAAATATTTGTCGCCAAATTTTGTATATTGGTATATATTAGCTAAAAAAATCTTAAATATACCGGAAAAATTTTAGGGGTGGTAGGAGACATCAAAATAATTTTTTTTTTTATTAATAAATATAAGTTTCAAATCCAAAAACGTTTACTAAATCGGCTATTTTGAATTTAAAATTTCTAATTAGGTTTTATTATAAATTACAAACAACTTTTATAAATATTCTTTAACAGTGGCGGCTCATGACCAAAATATTGGGGATTCACGAGTACAAAATATAGATCTTGGTACAGATTTAGGTAAAAAACTGTCAGTGTTTTAGAAAGGTATATTATAAACAATGAAAGTTTTTTACCTAAATTTGTAATAAGAACTATATTCTGTCACTGTGAACTCCAATATTTTGTTTACAAGCTATCAGTGTTTTTTAATAAATAATGGTACGTTTCTCTTAAAACATTAAATTTTTCTAGATAAATGAACGTCGGCGAGATTCTACGAACATCGAGTATTTTGTGCGAACATAAGCGAACCTCTACGAATGTAGATGAGCTTCCGCGAACATAGGCGAGCCCTCCTACGAACATACGTAAATGAATACCAAAGAGCTTGTGTGATTTTCTTTCAAATTAGAGTATTAATTCTTTTTTCTTTAGTAATTTCAGTTCTTCCTGTAAGAAAATTAAAATCTAGTGTAATAATACTAATAGAATCGAAGTAGTATTTTTATAAAAATAAATGTAGGTACTTAATATTGACAGTTTACTATTTTTACTCATTTACATTTTATGATGTATTCGAGATTTTTGAACAATCCTGTACATAGACCTTTGCCATAAAAACTGTACTATCATGAATTTTCAAATAAACTGTAGTATAAGATTAAGACGGTTTGTACAACATATACAAGTTAGCACAAGCTTTTTGATGTTCATTGAAGTAAGCTCGTATACGTTTGTGAAGACTTGCATAGGTACGATAAATTACGATAATTTTGACCACAGTACGATTTTTGAAGCCGAGTGACGCAGCAGCAATGGGACTATCTATCTCTATGCAACAGATACTTGCACCTCTCGGAAATAAATTTATTTAAAATTTGTCGAGAAATCTGATGGATATTTAGTCTTTTTAAATAAAAAATCAGTTAATTTTTTAAAAGCGATTTTACATCGCGTATAAAAGTTTATTACTTCATTATCTGAAAATTTACAACGTGCAATCCGAACGCGTCGTTCGGAGTGTTTTAATGTGGATTGAAATGGATTAAAATACAATGAAAAAGGCCTTAAGTATGGCCAATTAAATTTAATAGTGCATTAAATTTTATTTACAAATAAACCTGTTTCCTAAACGTTTCCTGACTCACATTAACCATTGTCTTATTTTTTGTTTGATTTTTTTTCATTAAATTATTTTTATTTTTAAATTTTCTGTATGGAAGATAAAAATTGTAACTGAATTATGTAATCCATCCATACAAAATTAAAACTATTCTATTAAGATTTACCAACTGGAAATAATTTAAAAATTAGTACAATTTCAAAATATAGTAAATTGTAAATATTCTTGGTAGATTTATGAATACCGAGCTTATAATTGTTTGTACATATTATTTTTAACTGTTATACATACAGGGTGGCGCATTAGAAATAGTCCACCTAAAATATTATTGGCGGGGGAGGTTTTTGCGACAAACCCCGAGACACATCGATTTTGTTATCGAGGGGGACAACTTTTGATCGTTGTACGGTCATCCCCTTAAAAGGGGCGGCAACCCCTTCGAGAATCTTTAATGGCATGGGGGGTCGAGTGGCTCATCGTTTAAAAGGTATTTCGATTCTCTTTACAGACATGCTAACATTTTTGTGTTAAGTGTTAAAATTAATGCCAAAAACCAGCTGGAATTGTGGGTGAAAGAAATAAAAAAAAAGTTGCCAGAAAAGTTTTAATTAAAGTAAGTGTTCAAATTACGATCCATTTACTTCCAAACAGTAATAAAACCTCTGTTCAATACTGTTCCGAACATTTTGTAGCATTGTAGGAGTTATTTCACGACATGCCACAGTTATCCGGTGGTGAAGATCTTCTAAAGAGTTCGGTTGCGTTTTGTAAATAACACTTTTTAAATAACCCCATAAGAAGAAGTCCAACGCTGTTAGATCTGGCGATCTTGGGGGCCATTCAATAGAACCTCTTCTATCAATCCAATGTGAGGGAAAATGTTGATTTAAAAAGTCACGCACAAGAGCTGCATAGTGTGGTGGAGCGCCATTCTGTTAAAAAAAATCATTCTCTGGGATCTGATCAGCGTTTTTCATTATTTCCACAATGTGAGGGTAGATGTTGTATTCGAGCAAATTAAGATAAGATTCACCCGTCAAGTTATGAGGTAGGACAAACGTACCAACAATATTATTTCCAAAAACCCCAGTCCACACATTCAATTTTTGGGGTTTCTGTGTATGTTGTTCTCTCATAATTGCAGGATTTGCATCACTCTAGTATCTGCAATTATGTCTATTCACGTGACCATTAAGAAAGGACGTGCATTCGTTAGAAAAGCATGTTGAATATAAAAAGTGGGGATTTTCCACAACTCTTCTAGTCATCTCCTCACAAAATTGGATAAGGCAATCTGGATCGTCTTCGTTGAGCTCTTGCATGAAATGAATCTCATAGGGATGGAATTTATGCTGTAGCAAGACCCTCTGAAGGCTTCTAGGTTGATTTCCTGTAGCTGCTGCTATTTCGTCTCGTGCTTGAAGTGGGATCCAATGCAAGATGTCCCAAAAGTGCAACCTGTGTAGCCTCGTTAGTAACAGGATGTTGTCTTTCATATTTTCTGTTAGAAATGTTTCGTCTCCATGAATTTACATATTAAATGTATCACATAGGGATGTCTTACATTCTTACCGGGATGCCGTTCATTAAAAACTCTTGCAGCTGCCCGAGCAGATACGTTGTTTCTAAAATAGTGTGCGACAATTTCAATTCTCTCTGCAGTGGTATAAACCATGATAATTAGGTTCATTTATTTTCAAATAGCAAATGAAGAAATTTCACTAAAATAAAACTAGGTACCCGAAAAATTCTACTAAAAACCATTATCTTATCTGGTTTAATGCTGTTTCAGTATCTAGTTATTAATTGCAGCTTTTTATTCAGATTTCTTTAAAGACGGGGCCTCCCTATGTAAGACCTGTAGACCGAGGATTTCCGAAGATGTTAAATTTAAAAATGTAATTTTCTGCCAAATTAAAGATAAAGATCTTACTTAGGTAGTCTTACTATTTTAAATTGATGAATAATTCATTTTCAATTAAACCAGTTAAATTTAAAACTGAAGTTAAAAAGCTAATTCTAAGAAATCCTGATATTTTCAGAATATTTTAACATTAAATGTTCTTAATAAATTCTGCATTTATTTATAAAACAATTAGCACTCCAGAGCTTTATAGTTTTGCTCCTTTCTGCCTCTTCTAATAAAACATTCATCATACATTTCTTTAGTTCCGAAATGATTTGACAACACAGAGCAAAATCATGATTAGGCATTCCAACGACTTACTCTGACAAGTGGGATTAACAGTTTAGATATGGCAACACTGTAGCTTGCTGCCATTGACAGGGTCAATGATACATAGTGGTATATATTGCTCAAAGCAGGTCGATTTGCGAGCGGCCATATTGCCTCCTAAGTGCTTGTTAATTAGAATCAGTTTAGCAATAACGTGTTGTAAAACCAATTTGCAGCCTTTAAATAGAGTAAAAAAATAATTACCTTCAATTTAACTTCAAGACATAAGCTTATTTTTATTTTGAAAAACATGAATGATCAAATCACCAGGCCCACAAGGTTGACATTTTGTTTGGAATGCTTAATAGATGAAGAATGCACTAGGCATTCCAAACAAAATGGCTACCCGTCTGAAATGACAGGCACACGACAGGTTATACTATGGCAATTAGGCATTCCAACGACCTGTCCAAATGGCTACCAGTGGGTAATGACAGTTTAGATATGGCAACCCTGTTGTCATGTTGTCATTAACAGGGTCAATGATACATACATAGTTATATAGATTGCTCAAAGCTGGTCGTTTACGAGCGGCCATATTGCCTGGCAAATATTTATTAATTTGAATCGGTTTAGCAAAAATGTGTTTTAAAACCAATTTTTAGCCTTTAGATATTTAAAAAAAAAAATAATTGCTTACATTTTTACTTCAA